GTATTATGTTATATAACTTCTTTGAAAGATATAACTTTTACACTTAATTTACTGTTTTTTCTTAAGATTAATTCATGTTGATGAAAATCTCTAGAGTTCAACCATTTTGATTACTATATAATATTTCCTTGCATTGATACACCAATATCCATTCCATTGACTGACGTATGGACTATATTCAGATTTTATTTTTATAAATAGTAGTGCTATATATATTTGTTCATGTGCAAGAAATTTTCTTGGATGTATGACTATAAGTGCTGATTCATGTACAAATGTTCATATTTCAGAGATAATGCCAAACTAGCAACTGAAGTTATCACAAATATGTAGACATACAGCATCTCTAATAATTGGTATTATCAGCCTTTGTAATTTTGGACAATTGAATAAATACAAATGATAAGTCATTATAACCTTTATCTGTATTCTCTAATTACAACTGATGTTAATTATTTCTTCATAAATTTTTTAACCATATGTGTTTTCTTTTCTATAAAATATCTATTCAGTTATGTTGCCCATTTTTTTCTATTGGGTTATTTGAACTTTTCTTATGGATAACAGGAAAATTATTATGTATATACTTGATATACTATAATTAATGTTTATATATTCTTATAATTTGTCCATTATGTTTTCTTTAAATATATTCTATAATACGTGAATCCTATTTTTCCCTTTCTTTAAGGTTTATTTGAATAAACCAACTTTTTCAAATTTAATACTGTCAAATTTATCAACACTATGTTTCATTATTATATTTTTTTTGTTTTATTTAGGAGTTTTTCCCTATTCTGAGGTGTTACAGATGCTTAAATATTTTTCAGCTACAATTTTGGGGGTTTTTGACTTTTAAATTCTTAATACCACCAACATTTGTATTGGTTTGTAATATGAACTAGCATCCAATTTCATCTTTTTACACATTGATTGACACTTTATTCTCATTCTATTTTTTAAACAGCCCCTCTTTTTCACACTGATGGGCAGCACCTCCTCTGTCATGTACTGGACATTCCAATATGTGTGGTTCTGTATGCAAGGTCTAAGTCTATTCCTTTGAACAGTTGGCTCTTGTGCCCCTTTTGTTTCAATACTAGTCCTAATTCTCTAAATTTTAAGTTCTTACCTGAATGGAATTAGAGACCATTTTCCTCAGTGAAGTAGCACAAGAATGGAAAAACAAATACCACATGTACTCAGTACTAAATTGAAACTGGTAGATTAACACCTACATCCTCACATGCGAGAAAAAATTCAATAAAATTCAAGTGTAGGGAAGAGATGAAGGGGAGGGGTAAGTTCCCACCCAACAGGCGCATTGCATGGGTGTATTCTACACTTCTGGTTGAAGGACACATGTACAACTCAGACTTTAACCCTCCAAAGGTAAACTATGTAACCACCCCGACATTAACCTGAAATACTAAAAAAAAAAAAAAAAAAAAGTATTCTAATCGTCACATCTCTACTCTGCATTTTCCCTTTGGAAACATCCTGAGTGTCCCAGATCTTTATCATCCCATGAAATTTTTAGAATTTTCTTCTTTTACTAGTCATTTGATACTCTCTTGCTGCAGACCACAATGTTAATGCCATTGCCTCTGTGAATTTTTATCTAATAGTCTCTACATAAATCATCCTTGTTCCTCATCCTGATACCCACTAGATAAAGTAATTTATAAATTACTTTACCTTTATAGTTGAATGCACACAGTCACATGTGGCTTGTCAGTGGGACTACGTTCTGAGAAATGCACTGTTATGCAACATCGTCATTGTGTAAACATCATAGAATGCACTTCCTGAGACCTAAACAGGATAGTCTACTACACAGCAAGGTTACAGGTACAGCCCATTGTTCCCAGGCTACAAACCTATGCAATGTGTTACTGTATTAAATACTGTAGGTAATTGTAACAGATTGGTAAGTATTTGTGTGTCTAAACATATGTAAAATATAATAGATAGAGTAAAAAAAACAATATTACAGTCTTATGGAACCACCATCATATACGTAGTACGTAGTCTGTCATTGACAGAAACCTCATTATGTGGAAAGAGAGAGAGAGAGAAGGAGGGACACAGACAGAGAGAAATGTTTACTTTATGGCTGACTATAAACTCCATGACAGGAAAGAACTCATTTCCCTTGTATCCCAAATAGCAAATAGCAGGGACCTTGGTTATATCCCCTAGACTAAGCCCTTAATAAATAATTGATGAATTGATGAATGTATAAATGAAAAGGCCTCAAAAATTAAGTCATAATCTATGCTAATATTTGGTACTTAGAAATTACTTAAAATTCAGAAATATAAGTGATCTTAGAAACCACCTACTTCAAAATCTTTCTTTTAATAATGAAAACACATAGGTGCAGAAAGATCAATTTTTTAAGTCAGAAAGCCTATTTTTAGCATATTTTGAAAATGAAAATTTCAGTCAAGCTTACTTGGCACAGCCTCAACTGATTGGAAATAAAATGTTTTGAATACATAGTATAAATTCCTAAATAATGTAATAGTCTGAAATAATAAGTAATACAAATTAACACCCTTGAGTCTATTTTCCATTTATTGAAGCCAAATAAAATAAAATATTAAACAAATACAATAGAGCGAAAGTTTGTATCCCCTAAAATTCATATGTTGAAATCCAAACCCTCAAGTATAATATTAGGAAGTGGGGCCTTTAGGGTATGATTAGGTCATGAAAGTGAAGTCATCACATATGGAATTAGTGTTTTTATAAAGTATGTCCCAGATCCCTCAATCCTTCTCTGTGTGAGATTAACAAGAAGACAGTTGTTTATGAGGAACAATCCCTCATCTGGATACCACATCTGTCAGCACCTCGGTCTTGGGCTTCCCAGCCTCCACAACTCTGAGAAATAAATTTCTGTTGTTTTTCAGCCACCTGGGCTATGGTATTTTATTATAATAGCTCAAATGCACTAAGACTACAAGTCTTACAAATAAAGAGAATGTAGTTTCATTTTACAATTTAAGTCCAATGAATTGTTATTATTTTTGCCTTGCATCATTAAATTTTACATTTTGAGATTTACGACTGAGCATTAAGGATGAAAATAACCAAAACAGTACTTTTTTGGTACTTTCAGAAAAAGCTATGAGAGTTTTGCTGAATCAGGTTATGACATTTTTTGTGACCAATCTAGATGTCTTCGTTCAGCAAATGACAGAGCAATCATTCCAAACTGAAGTGATTTATCAAAACATATTTCTACTTTCAGCCAAGCAGCAGCTCACCTGATTCTAACAAAGAAGGAGAGAAGGTTGATTTATTCTGGGGTTTTAGCTAAAGATCAGCAAATCAGTCCCTGTATTCATTTGTCAAAACCTGATGGACTCATAATGTTCTCCTTTCAGAATAATTGTAGCATAAAGGCATAAAAAATGCATATAAACTACCTAAATAGGTCTAAGCTCAGTCACTTCAAAAGTACTTTACCTAAATTCTTTGTAGTTGTCAAAAACTGCAGTGAGAAAGTTAAACCCAGTTTGAACAAAAGATGAAGATATTTAGAATTCCAATTGAGAAAGAGTACTTTTACAATCTAAAACAAATCTAAGATATCTAAAATACCCTTTTTTCAAAAAACTAATTTTTGGGGCAGCGCCTGTGGCCCAGTGAGCAGGCGCCCCATATACTGTCAGTGGTGGGTTCAAACCCGGCCCTGGCCAAACTACAACAAGAAAATGGCCAGGCATTGTGGTGGGCACCTGTAGTCCCAGCTACTCGGGAGGCTGAGGCAAGAGAATCCCCTAAGCCCAAGAGCTGGAGGTTGCTGTGAGCTGTGACACCATAGCACTCTACTGAGGGTGACAAAGTGAGACTCTGTCTCTAAAACAAAAATAAAAACAACAACAAAAGAAAAAAACTAATTTTTGGAAATGCTCTTCTGTGTTTCCCTAAACCTCATACAATGATATAGTTTAAATGAAGTCCTGTTTATTAAAATATTTTAATTAGTAAATAACCCCCTAAATATCTGTAAAAAGCAGATGGCATTTATTAAATAAATGGATATCTCAACTAGTTGGTACAGAATCACTTTTCAACAACATCTCAACTGAGACTCAATTAAAGTTTGCTTTGTGATATTTATGCAGAAAACTTTGCTAGTCAGAGAATACATGTTAGTCCAGTGAGAATGAAACTAATTCTGGGCACCCTTAAGGACTTTAGAGCATCATTTTACTAGGAATATTTCAGAAATATATTTATAGTTCTTGAAATCAGCAAAAAAGGAAAGCATGGAGAAAATTGTTTGCAGGAAATTACTTTGAATCACTTTGCAGGAAATGAATCTCCATGCCCATTTATACAAATCGTTGTGTTTATATAGAATTCACTCCCATCTAGTCACTGAAACTGGTCACTCCAGAGGAATACAGGGAGTCACACTGACTTTACAATTACTTGAAATTATTTTTTGCACTTAACATAGAGCAATATGATCCATAGATGGAATCTGGACACTAATGTGTGTGTGTGTTTTTTTTTTTTCCAAAAATTATGTTTTTTAACTGTTTTGGAAGTTTTCATGATAACATGCATACTTCCAGGTTGCCACAATCTCCACCTGCCTCACTTTAGTCGTTTTGTCCTTTTTGGTCATGTACTTGGCTTTTAAAAGCTTTTGGCTTCAAAAGAGTGTAGTTTAAAATTCTGCCCAGTTTGAACGTTCACTCAGTTGTTCTTTTCATACAGTCACAGAACACTAAGAATTTAATAGCATTGGAAGGTATCTTACTGGCTAGCTAACTCTTCTTATTTCTTCCAAAAAGACACCTAAAACCAAGAGAAGTAAAATAGCTTCTTCCTTGTTAAATGTACATTAACAGTGCTGTCAAAATAATCGCCTAACTCACTAAGGCAAAACTGCTCTCCTTTTAGAGTGTCTATGATTTATAAAGAATCATCACAATTCTCACCCTTACAAAAATAATTCTTGCTTCATAAGCACTTACCCCTCAATGCAGGTAATAGGGATCTCTCCTTCTTGTCGTCACATTTGTTACATTCACTGAAGTACAGGAGTAAGAAGACATCAACCAGAACCCACATCAGTGAAGTGGCCAGAACCACCTTGCAGTAAACAAATCTCCTCATGTCTTTCTTGATTTCTAGTTAACACACAGATGGACAGCAAATGCTATTGTGATAAATCCAAGCCACAGAGATGAACTCCAAGATAAAGGCAGGATACATTCCACTGTATTAAAAAAAAAAAAAAAGGAAATTGCATTACTGTACTTATTTTTTTTTGTATGTATATATTTCATACATAGCACAAAATATTTGACTTATTTAATATTCCCAGATATCACAGATATGGCAGCATTTCAAATTTGACATTGAAAGCCCAGGTAAATGAAAGTTGTCAGCAAGCCAGGTGGCTACAATACTAATACTGAACCCTAGATCTACCACCACTCTGCCGGGCCTCTGACAAATGGATTTCTTCAAGTTGTATTGTCTTTACCTTAAAGTCCTATCATGAAAATCTATATAGCATCAAGTTGTAAAGTAATGCAGCTCTGAATTGAGCCTGATTTACTTCTTCTGATGATTCAACAATACTGAAATAGAAATCATCCTAGAATACAGTATGTTATAGTGGCTAAGAGCTGGCCTGTATAGACAAAGAGGTCTGGATCCATGCACTTCCTCACTATGGGAGAATTTATCATCAAAATAAACAAAAATGAGGATAACAATGAGAAACCTAAAGATTTTCTATGATGATCAAGTATGATCATACTTGTGAAGCATCTCGCTGCTAATATTATTAATACTGAGGTAAAACAGGAAAAAATAGTTTTAAGATTATCAAGGAGGGCAATTAGAAGAAGTAAATCAACAGTTATTTAACCTTTACCCTCTCTGCTCTTCATAGGAAGTAGACACAACAGATGTATATTTTCAAATAGATGGCATGCATCAAAAAATGTAACGAGGAGAAATGACATATTAATGTAAAACAAGGTAACTAGAGCAGGAATTCTAAAGGGCATAACAAAGAAAAGCGCATAATTATTAAAAGATATCCAAAGCAAGTATGGAATTAGTACAATACATGAGTACGTATTTATTTTATTTACACTACATTGATCAATAGCCACCTGGTTAGCTAGTTTATATCTACATAATAAATACATCAGACCAAAATTAATCAGATATCATTTGCAACATTTAAAATAATATCAAATGAAGTATAAATTTGATGATATGAATGAGATGAGTGACATACTTCAGACAGTAATATTTGGGTAAACAGTATTAAATATAAGGATACTTGAAACATTTCATAAATACTTGTCTAAAAATAAAAAGCTCAAAGTAAAATTTGCTGAGGCAGCCTCTCTTTAATAGCGGCTGACAACATCATAAAACAATAGAAATGCTGTTGCCTTTTACAACCAATGCAAACTGGTAACAAACTCAAGATTCACATAAAGTGAATAAAAGTAAAAAAAAAATTACAACAAAGGAACTACATCAATAACTATATAAAATTCACATTTATTCATAACATATATACATATATACATGTATTTGCAGCCATATATTGTCTTTTGGAGACATGTGTTATATATATGAACAATCTATTTTCTATATATCAAATGAAGAAATGTATTGTGTGCAAATTTATGAGTCCATGACATTTGAGGTTTGTTTACTGTTATTCTTTTTAAAAAATAGTTTCCTAATTACCTAGTTTGTTTTATATTCATTTCATTTTTCTGTAAAACTGATAACTAAATATTGGATCTCAGCCTTTAAACCTGACTAGAAGGAAAAGAATCTCCCATGTATATGCCCTGTTCCTAGATGCACAGTTTTGTAAATTCGAGATATGAAGCAATTCAATCTATCAAATTTTCTGTCTTTCCTAAGAAATTTTCTTTCTGTCCTAAGATGGAATAGGTCCCTTCAGATTGTCACTGAAAAAATAATGCAATGAAAAAATTCATTATAGCATTGATGGTTACCAACTGGCCATCCCAGGTTGATAAGGAGTACATTATAATAACCAATCCTTGAAGGTGCAAATAGCACCATTCTGTCACCAAATAAAGAGATGGCCTTGGGTAAGTATTCTGTCTCTTTGTACTTCATTTTCCTTAGTTTTTACTATTTCCTACCTTATCCACCTCACTAAATATTGTAAGACTTAAGCAAGATAAAGAATGAGAATATTTTTTAAGAAAAATATGAAGAATATTATAACAGAAAAACTGAAATCACTTAGTATTAAATATTGAAATTTCTACATGTCATTTCCTAATAAGACTCTTACAGTTAAGGCTATTGAGATTTTAATTTAAACTTTAGTTATGATAAAAAATTAGAATCATGTCTTATTATCATTTCAAGAATTATTCAAATTATTCAGACTTCATAGCATGCGAAATCTATATATAAAGATTTATCAATTCTCTCAATAAAAGTTAATGGCTTGAATTCCCCACTGAAGAGGCACAGGCTGCGCAACTGAATTAAAAAAAAAAAAAAGCACAAACCATATGCTGCCTCCAGGAAATACACCTAACTCAGGGTTAGAAAACAGTATTTCAGGGGTGGCGCCTGTGGCTCGGTGAGTAGGGCACAAGCCCCATATACTGAGGGTGGCAGGTTCAAACCTGGCCCCAGTCAAAATGCAACAAAAACATAGCTGGGCATTGTGGCAGGCACCTGTAAGTCCCAGCTACTCGAGAGACTGAGGCCTCGAGAATCACCTAAGCCCAGGAGTTGGAAGGTTGCTGTGAGCTGTGACACCACAGCACTCTACCAAGGGTGACAAAGTGAAACTCTGTCTCTAAAAAAAAGAAAGAAAGAAAGAGAACAATATTTCAGGAAAATGGAAAACAGAAGAAAAAGGGATTACAATCTTATTTTCAAATACATGTAGGTTTAAAGCAACTAAAATTAAGAAAGACAAAGTTGGTCACTTCATACTGGTCATGGAAACAATACATTAAGAGACCATTTCAATTCTAAATATTTATGCATGAAACTTAAATGCTCCCAGATTTATGAAACTGACACTGATTGATGTGAGTGATATGATATTCTAAAATGTCATAATAGCTGGGCACTTTAAAATCCCTCTGGTTTAAGTGGACAGATCATCTAAACAGAAACTAAACAAAGATATAAGGACTTAAATGCAACCCTAGAACAACTGGGCTTAACAGACATATACAGAACACACTATCTCAAAGCTAAGGAATATACATTCTTCTCATCAGCCCATGGAACATACTCCAAAATGGATCATTTCCTAAGACATAAATCAAAACTCAAAAAAATTAAAAGAATTAAAATTATACTGTGTATCTTCTCAGAGCAAAAGGCAATAAAGTGGAACTTAACTTCAACAAAAATTTTCATCCCCACACAAAGGCATGGAAATTAAACAACCTTATGCAAAATGACAGCTGTGTTAAGGAAGGGATAAAGGAGGGAATTATTAAACTTCTTGAACATAACAACAATGAAGCTACCAGTTCCCCAAACCCGTGGGGTACTGCAAAACCAGTCCTAAGAGGGAAATTTATTGCATTGGATGCCTTCATTTGAAAAACAGAAGGAGAAAACATCAAAACCTAATGAATAATCTTAATGAAATGGAAAAAGAAGAGCAATCCAATCCCAAACCCAGCAGAAAAAAAAGCCATAACCAAAATTAAATCATAAATAAAAAAAATTAAAAACAAAAGAATCTTTCAGAAAATTAATGAAATAAGGAGTTGGGTTTTTGAAAAAATAAATAAAATAGAAAAACCTTTGGCCAGACTAACTAGAAATAGAAAAGTAAAGTTCCTAGTAATCTCAATCAGAAATGATAAAGGGGAAATAAAAATAAATGCTACAGAGATACAAGAGATTATCTACTCTAAGAAACTCTATGCCCAGAAATTTGACAATGTGGAGCAAATGGATCAATACCTGAAATCACATCATCTCTCTAGACTTAAGCAGGAAGAAACAGATCTCTTAAACAGACAAATATCAAGCACTCAGATCAAAGAAACAATAAAAAAACTCCCAACAACAACAATCACAAAAAACCCCCCAAAACCCTGGACCAAATGCCTTCACACCAGATTTTATCAAACCTTCAAAGATGAGCTTGTACCTATACTGCAGAACCTATTTCTAAACATTGAGAGAGAAAGAACCTTCCCCAACATGTTCTATGAAGCTAACATCACCCTGACAATCAAAACCAGGAAAGGACCCAACTAAAACAGAGAACTACATATAGACCAATTTCACTGATGAATATTAATGCAAAAATAATCAATAAAATTTTAGTCAATAGATTACAGCTATACATTACAAAAATTATGAGCAAGTAGATTTCATTCCAGTGATGCAAGATGGGTTTAATATACTCAAATCCATAAATGTCATTCACTGTATTAACAGGAACAAAAACAAAAACCATATGATTCTTTCAATAGATGCAGAAAATGCATTTGATAAAAGTCAATGTCCTTTTCCAACAAGAACACCTAAGAATATAATTATAGATGGCATATATGCTTAAATGTTGAAACCATCTACAACAAACCCACAGCTAATATCATACTGAATGGATTAAAACTGAAAGTTTTTCCATTTAGAACAGGAACCAGACAAGGATATCTGGTTAGACAGATCATCATTAGAAGATAATTACCACTACTATTCAACATAGTGGTAGAGGTTCAAGCTAATGCAGTCAGGCAAGAGAAGGATAAAGGCATCAAAATGGGATTAGAGGAAGGCAAACTTTTGCTCTTGACCAACAATATGATCTTATACTTAAAAAAATGCAGAGACTCAACCACAAGCTCCCAGAAGTGATCAAGGAATAACATTATGTCTAAGGCATAAAATCAATGCCCACAAATCAGTAGCCTTTGTATATGCCGATAACAATCAATTTGTGAAGCTAATCAAAAATGTAATTCCCTTCACAGAAGCTTCAAAGAAAAATGAAATAACTAGGAAAATACCTAACAGAAGGACCTCTACAAAGAGAATTAGGAAACCCAAGAAAAGAAATAGCAGAAGATATCAACAAATGGAAGAACATACCATGCTCTGGCTGGGAAGAATCAACATTGTTAAAATGTCTACCCAAAGCAATCTACAGATGCAATGCAATCCTCATTAAAATATCAACATCATACTTGGAAGAACTGGAAAAAATAGTTCTTT